TTTCCTGGATCTCATTGACAGTCTGAAATCTCTTCCCTTTCAAAGGAGATTGTAGTTTAGGGGAAAGCCAGAAGTCACAGGATGCCAAATCTGGACTGCAGGGGGAGGAGTCACCTGGGTGATTTGATGTTTCACCAAAAAACTCTGCACAAGATGTGATGCATGAATGGGCACTTTGTTGTGATGAAGCTGCCAGTTTCCATAGCTGCAGGCTTCTGAATCATTAGAATAGTTTCTGCAGAGGAATGCCAAGCTTAGTGCAAAATTCGATGCATATTCATTGCTCTACTCACTCAGTCATCTTGAATGTGATGGCAACACAGTACACCTGCTCACTCAATGGTGTATATCACCCCCACTGACTAGTCCAGTGAAGCTGTCATTGTTCTGCATGTGCATTCCAGTCCATTCTCCTTGGCTGCCAAGTTAAATTGATGTTGCACAAACCGTTTTCATTATAGTAACAATGGCTGGACTTTTCCCAATAAATATACAGACCTTGTATATTTATCATCAGCCTGATTTTTTTAAGTGTCTTGAATGATATTCTGGAAAGACAGAATTGGTAAATGACTCAGTGGTATCCCAATAAGGAGAGGGTTACTATTTCTTAGAATATTTAATTTGTAAAGCCCAGTCTTCTAATTCAAGAGCATCTCTTTGACCCAGGATGCTTCCCAAAAGAGCATTCAGTTAAACAAGGTAAGTGCTTAATTCTGCATGGAAAGCACTTGGGAGACAAAAAAATAAATTTTATTTTTTTGTAGCCTTCCTAATATTTATAGTAATATCATCAATTATTTATCGATAGCAAAAAAGGATACTTTTTGCAATATAGTTAGACATTCTATAGTACAACACAGAATTGCCTTCTGAAAGGGGTTTTATGTATAATATCCACTTATAATTTAAAATATAATTAACTACACAAATAATTTTTAAGTAAAATTAATAATAAAGACTGTCCTGTGGATGGTAGTGCTTAATACATGTTGTATTTTGTATGGTGATTTCAAGCTATTTGTTTTCTTAAAATCAGCAGCTATTTAGCCTAAATCTGAAAACTATTTTGTCCTTTGCACCAGTACTTTTTTGTGCATACTTTTTGTGATGTGCTAAGAATCTGTATTGCCAACATTGGAGCTTGAACTTAAACTTGTTAAAATAAATATTTATTTTTATTCTTGTATAAATATTTTATTTTAATTTTTAGATAAAAATTAAAAAAATTCTGCCCCAAGGATATGTTTATTGATTTTAGAGAGAGGAAGGGAGAGAAAGAGGAAAAAAACATCAGTGTGAGAGAGAAACATCGATTAGTTGCCTCTTATACATGCCACGACCAGTATGGTGTATGTGTTGATGCTCCAATTAATTGAGCCACTCAGCCAGGGCTGTTCTTGTATAATTAGATGCCCCCTTTGGTATTATTTTAGAAGCATTGGAAGGATTTTGGGTAAAGTACAATTTATTGGGGAGAACTAGATTTTAGTTTTATGAAACTTTTTAAGTCTTTCATGGGATCTATATTTCCTTGAATTAGGTTTTGAAATTTTTGAACAAATAGATGATCTAAAAAAGTGTTTTCTGTGTTATTTAGAAAGAGAGACTTCCTTGTATTATAACCTACTAAGTGATTGAGAGATTACGCACAGGTGCACTCACCCCTCAAGTGTATGCATAACAGAAAAAGCACCACATCACTGCATTTCCGAATGTTTCCTGCTAACAGGCCCCAAAGCCTTATGAACCAATCAACTTCTTGCCAAAGGAAACCACCACTAAGGAGAGAAAGCCCCTGGAAGAGGTTTTACTATAGATACTCCCCTTCTTTGGAGCCCAAGGGCAGCCTATCTGGCATTTGTCACTGGAACTGAAGCCATAAAGACAGTGTGTGATACCTGAGAGGCTGCTACAGAACTGAAATTAATTGGACATTTTATAGATATTTATACAGATATTGGTCCTCAAAAGCTACAAACCAGTGGTCTGCAAAATAAAATGTGTTGGAAACCTCTGAGTAAAATGAAAAAAAAAAAGACTAAGAAAGTCTTCATTTCTCACCTGCAAAGATATAGCCATTTTTGGGTCCCAGAGATGCTGCTGCCCAAACTCAGTCTTGCATGGGGCTGTTCAGAACTGTCAGGGCAATCAGCCAGCAAGAGTGAATAACTGTCATCCAAAGAGTGGCTATTGATTCTCAAAATAAATTTCTCAGAGTCTGCAAGTCTCTAGAGAATATACCAATCATTACTTTGCTTCCTCAAGTCAGAACTTAATGACTTTTTACTAATAGTCCTTTTCCAAAGTGTATTACTGCTTTAATGTGACTTGAATAACCATCAAATGCTCTTCACATTTTGATGGGGGCTCATTCAAATCCACATACATGGAGCTATTATGTAACCACCAAATTATGTAGCACAACTCCCCATTCTTACTTCTTCTCTTCCTGTTCTTCTTGTGATATTAATTGTGGAAATTTACACTGTGTTTCTCTCATTTTGTAACAGTTCATCAGAAATTCTATGTGAAACCAGCCCTGCCTAAAATGCAGACAGAGAGCTCTACCTAAGCTTCTTTAATGGATGTTGTCAATAGGAAAATTGGGTGGTTATCCAGACAACACAGAATTAATATATGAATATATTTACTTTTGAACTACTTTTAGTGTCTTTTAGAATACTATATGTATATATTCATTCAACAAATATTTGTGGTCCACCTAATATGTGTCAAACAAAGTGCCAGGTATGTGCTATGCCTGAAACAAAGTGCCAGGTGTTGGGAATCCACACAGGTAAAAGGAGGCAGCATGGTCATGTGCAAATGCATGGTTCTTGATGATAAGAATCTTGAGTTCAAATCCTACCTTCTCAAGCTTCCTGAATTTGCTAAGGTATTTGTTCCCTCGGCCTTAATGTAAACTTGAAGAATTAGTATCTACTTTACAGAGTTGTTGTGAATATTGACAATACTATATAAGGCATCTCATGTAGGAGTTGGTGTACAAAGTAAACCCTCAGTTAATTATTTGCAGGCTCCCTGTCCTTGAGAGCTCTCCATTTCTATTATTATTATTCAGATATAGCCACATTCTTTCAGTCTAGTTGGGGAGACAGGTATAGCAGACGATTAGACTGTAGTGTGGGAAGTGAAATAATTGAAGAAACAGACATTGAATTAGGGGGACTGAGAGTTAGAAGTTTGATATGTAACATTAATTTAGCATACTATCCAATATGTTTCTGTTGCAAGAACCTTAATAAGTTTGTTTTAGTATCTTATGAAGGTTTCAGGCCTATAAGAACAGCTATGTACAATACAATGATCCATGCAGGATCACTACAGGTTTTACTTCATGCAGGCATGTAACACCTCATTTAATCCTTACAAAGTAGAAGCTGTTATTATCCCTATTTTACAGGTGGGCAAACTGAGGCACAGAGAGGTTAAAATAACTTGCCTAAGGTCACATAGCTAAGAAACCTATATTCAAACCAAGCCCTTTAGCATTAGAACCCACATTTGTGACCCTCATTATATTTCCTTCTATTGTTTCCTTCTTCAAGCTTCATTTTACAGCTAGTAGAAACTGAAACTAATTATTCTTGAAAAAGTCATACAAATCAAGGGAAATTCATGGAAAAGTCAAACAGAAGAAAAGCATTGGATCTGGCAATAAATATAGCCCAGCCATTTTTTTTCTCCAGGCAGAACCTAAGGAGTGTTCTGTTTTGACAAGGCCTAGAACAGTCAGACTCATTCTTTTCCTTGTCCAGTTTCCAGGGGTAGCCCAACCAAGCTCTTCTTTTGTGGGCTGGATAGTTTAGAGTATTCTATAGTTTTTTTTTTTAAAGTTGCTTAACTTTTTAAAAAAGATTTTATTTATTTATTTATGTATTTATGTATTTATTTATTTATTTTTAGAGAGGGAAGGGAGGGAGATGAAGAGAGAAAGAGAAACATCAATGTGTGGTTGCTGGGGGTCATGGGCCTGCAACCCAGGCATGTACTCTGACTGGGAATTGAACCTGTGACACTTTGGTTTGCAGCCTGCGCTCAATCCACTGAGCTACGTCAGCCATGGCTGAGTGTTCTCTCTATATTTTTTAAATCACATTTTAAATCATCTTCACTTTATTTTTCTGAGAAGTATGAACTGCGATGTTTTTCATTTTCTAAGTCCCCTGGTAAGGTCCATGCTTTTACTTTCCTGGCTTACTGATGCTTTCCACTAGAGGACCCCGCCTCTGACATTTCAAGTGCATTTTACAAAACTGGCACATCTTTGTTCTGATACAAGATCTTGTTCCATTGAAAGAATAGTTTGATTTTATAGACCTGTTGGTCACAATCTAGTTTGTCTAGAAAGGTGTAAAGGGGGAAATAAGATAAAACTAATTTTATTTATTTATTTATTTATTTTAATTTTATTAAATTTATTGGGGTGACATTGGTTAATAAAATTATATGGGTTTCAAGTGTACAACTGTATAATATATCATCTGTCTATTGCACTGTGTGTTTACCACTCAAGGTCAAGTGTCTGTCACCATATATTTGCATACTCATTTTACAGAAGGAGGGTCTAAGAACTGATTCCTGGGGAATAGTGTGAGTAGCTTATGTCTTCATAAATCAGAAGATTCATAGGAAAGAAAGAGTAAGGGACAAGAGCATGGCAATCCTGAGTCCCCAAGGCCACTTTCAGAATTCCTGTGCACTGATTCCACCTCAGGTTGTTTTCCTGGAAGACCTACAAAAGTCTTGCCTTTGATTCTTTTTTCCTTCCTTCCTTCCTTCCTTCCTCCCTCCCTCCCTCCCTCCCTCCCTCCCTCCCTCCCTTCCTCTCTCCCTCCCTCCTTTCCTCCCTTTCTTCCTCTCTCCCCCTACTTTTCACTGGGGCATGAGGACAGTAGGAATTTAAAGAATGAACACACCAAGGAGAGGCAGGGGCAATTTAGAGAATGAAGAGATTCAAGAGAAAATCCCAATTCTTATGAAGATGAGAAGTTCTTTTATTTTAGAAGAAACAGCCTATTCAGTTTAAAGGGGATTTTTTCCCATTATTGTCAAACCTCTTTATTTCATCCTTCATGTCACTACGTAATGTGACTACCTCATCACACCTGGTTTATTGCTTCAGTTGACCTTTTTTTGATTTAACTCTGAAAGTCTTCTCCCTCCAAAATGCCCTTACAGTGGGAATAGTCTCTGCCAACTGCATCCTGAAATTTAATATTTGCCATAATTTGATTATACTGTACTTATTGGCTTTTCTCTATCAATACTTCCAATATGTACCTCCTCTTCAACAGTATTTATTGCTCACAAGCAGCATACAAAGCACTATGTTGTTTGGCAGTGGATGTAGAGGTAAATAAAATTGTCACATTTTATTTTCACCTCTTGATGATCATGAAGTTGTGGCTCTTGTCCTTAAGTAATGCAAATTGTAGAGGGAAACAAGTAATTGTATATACTGTAAGGCAGAAAGGAATGAGTTATAGTGACCAAAGGACCAAAAGAGAGGCGAAGGAGTTCAAAAAGAGCCATAATTAATTTGACTAATGATACCAGGAAAAACTTCATAGAGGAGGTGGCATTTGAGTTGGGCATTAAAAGATGTGTATATAGATTAGGAGTGGGGCACACATTCTAGCCAAGGCTATGCCACATATAGGCAAGGGAATGCAAACATGCATGGTGTGTCTGGGGAGGTGCCCAAAAATTCACCATGTAGATCCAGGGCTCCGTTTTTCTTTTTTTTAGTTGTTTATGCTTTCTTCATGTGAATGCCCTCTGTCTTTCTTCTTCATCCTCTGCTGAGTCCCATCCTTCCTGCATAGACCAGTTTTAGCCCACCTGCTCCATATGGTCTTTTCTGACTGTGCTAGCTTGTTCCACTCCTGGTAGTACGTGGTTCATGATTTAACTGCAGTGTCTGTGCTGGATTGGTTTCTCAGCAAGCCCAGGGCAGCCATTATGCTCATCTCATACTTTGGGGGCCTTGCAGTCCCAACACAGTGCTAAAGGTAGTCAGGGATAGATGGTTCTACTGGCCCATTCACTAGGGCTAAAACCTTCATTCTGCCTAAATGTAGTTTATTCCTGCTGCCCATCCTGGGGTTTCTTATAGGCATTTAGGATTTGGCTGCTTATGTGTGTTAACATATAAGGGAAGAAATTCTTTAACTGCTCTCTTGAATGTTCCTCTCAGTTATGGCAGGGAAGGGGGAGGAGCACTTCACCTCATCTTGAACTCCATGACTCTCTGGGCAGAGCCTTGGTAACTGGGGTGAACCCAGTTTTGTAATCTGCAACATCTCTCAAGTTCCCTCTAGAGAATGACTTTGCTTCTTTCAAGGTCTCTTGATGGTTGAGTTACACTTCCCCTAAAGTGCCAGAAATATAGTTTGTCAATTCTTTTTGAGGAATGAAATACTGGGTATGGCTTCTTTTTGTTGCTGTGGCTGCTTGGATTGTGTATTAGTTTGGTTCTGCACAGAAACAGAACTAATGGGAAATAGATATAGTAGGGAATTGCCTCATGTAGTTATGAAGATTGAAAAGTCCCAAGATCTGTAGTCAGCAAGCTGGAGAGGTGATGATATGCAGTTCCATTCAGAGTCCAATGGCCTGAGAATCAGGGAAGTTGATGGTGTAAGTTCCAGCCCAAGTCCAAGTCTGAAGGCAGGAGAAGACTAATGTCCCAGCTCAAAGCCAGTCAGAGGGAGGGAGGGAGAGAGACAGAGATAGAGATGATAGAGATTAGAGATAGAGATAGAGATAGATAGATAGATAGATAGATAGATAGATAGATAGAATAAAATCTCCCTTACTCCATCTTTTTGTTCTGTTCAAGCTTTTGGTGGATTTCAGTGATGCCCACCCAGGAGGAAGAGGATTAATCTACTTCACTTATTTTACAAATATCAAATGTTAATCTCATCCAGAAACACCCTCACAGACACACTTTAAATATTTAACCAAATATCTGTGCACTCCATGACCCTGTCAAATTGACACATAAAATTAACCATCACAGAGTGATATAGAAGAAAAGCTTGGCCAGAAAGAAAATCTTATGAGGCTTTTGAAGTAGAGCCTGGAGAAAAATGCCCCAGCAGTGTAGTTCCTACAAAAAGAGGATTTTCCAACACACAATTTGGAGGGTGTGTCTGAACTGCTGAGAGACACAATTCTGTTGGCTTCCCATGCCATATAGTCATGTACGGTTGCATTGGCTCAGCCAGTTGTACAATGAACAAAGATTTCTGGGCAAAGGGTCTAGTGGAGGCTGAATTGCAGTCCACATTCTGTTCACCAAGCCATGCACTTGGGTGAGGGGCTGTGTCTGCCTCAGGGAAAGAGGCCTTTTTCTAATTTTCCCAAGGTGCTGTGTGGACTGGTAGAAGCCATGCTCCAGAGTATACTGAGTGTAAGCAGGGCATCCTTGGTGGTGTGCCATGGCATATTACAAGTGTGCAAAATACTGTATGTATGGAGTTGCTGGAAAAGGTTATCAACCATAGTCACCAGAAGCCTCTAGCCATAGGCAGCCTCTGGACATGAACATTCTTGATAGGTTACTCCATTGTGCCATAAAAATATTTTCTATATATGCTGTGATATAAAGAAGATTGGGAATCACTGTACCAGGGGATTTGTCTTATCATTCATCCAGAAGGCAGACATTTCAGAAAGGGCACATGTCCATCTGTCTATCTAGGCACAAGCTATTCCCAGCAGCAGAGGGTTTTCTGTTTTGCTTACATGTTGGGATGTGGTGACTTGCAAACGTCATGTGAAATCTGGGTAGAGAAAGTCTGAATCCAGCACATCTGCCATTATCTATGGTTGTAGTTCAGTTTCCATGGAGAGAATGTTGTCTAGTGGCCTAGATCATAAATTCATAGCTCGAAGTCCCAGGAGGTTTGCTGTCCTGAGCGCTGGTTTTTCCCATCTGTGCTCAAGAGGGAGATGGAGGACATGTTAACTGAAAGCTGCTGCTGGTGATTTCCAAGTTTCCAGTGCTGGGGAAATTCGGGGTAGCAGGTCCTTGACCTTTCCTGTCTTTCACCTCTGCTTCAGTTGTCCCATTTGGAAGCCCTTGAGCCATCCATCAACTTCTCTCACAAAAAAGCAGGAGGAAATGGGGGTACTGCATTGATTTTGACTATTGGCTTGAGGTAACATCTAGGCTCAAGCTACATACCTTTCTTGTTCTTAGTTGAGCCCTAGTTCCTTCTGTATCCCAATAACTACTTTTATTTATATACAGTGGTGAGTCACCTCTCCTAGTATCTCATGTGCTCTAGTTTAGAACACTGTGGATAACCTTCCCACTGGCTTGAGGAGTCTTTGGTTTTAAATTACATACTGACCAATGAATAATTGTCATTCAACTTGTCTAGAGTATTTACTTTGAGATGTCTCAATTCAGGACTCCTTCTCTGTTTCCTCCCACTCTCCTTCAGATCTGGCTTAAACATTTGAGCACCCTACTCTTCACTTCTTGATTCTCCACCCTCCTTCCTCTTTCCTTTTCCTTCTCTTCATTCCTCTCTTCCCCTTCTTTTCCTTCTCCCTCTTTCCCTTTTGTGATCACTGAGGGGAAAAAAGTTCCTTCTGTTTCTTTCTCAAGGACACTTGGCTTACCTTTACAATTAAACTGTCCTATGCATTAAGTTCCTTTACAAGCTTCCTACTTGTCTAGCTCATAGATGCCTTATAGAATCAGCTCTTAATTCTTATTTATGGATTTATATATATTCCAAGTTCTCAATATATCCTTCCACTATTCATCTATTATCATTATTTTCCCATTTCTCTAGACTCCTAGGTTCAAATTGATCTTTCATGATTAGCTTCCTGCATGTTAGGTCAGCTATTAAACAGGAATACTTACAAAACACTTCATACACTAAGAGACCCCCAAACTTTCTTTCTGACTGTAATGGAAATGAGGACCTTTTTTGACAGCCCCTCAACAGATCCCCCATACTGAAAGTCCTGTTAAAAGCCAGGGTTTACTGTTCCTCAGGGACTATGAGTATCACTAGACCACTACAAATGGTTGTGAAGGTTGCATCCTGTGAAGGTCAGCTGAGGGAGCAAATGGGAACTGAAATTCAGCCTGTGTTCTACTTACCAGTCTGTGTACCTGTGTGGTCCCATAGAGAGGCACCTTTTTTCTTATTTTCACACTGTGAGCTAACAGTGACCCTGGGTATTGTAGAGGCTGGAGTTTCTACACTATGTTCAGGGGCTTTAGGGATCCTGCACCTAAAGTGTGGGATCAGCACCCCAAGCAGGCCAGCCTGTGGATAGTCATTGACGTTGGGATTAGTGCTCTGTGCATGTGTGGGAGTACCTTAAATGAAAACCCTCAGCCATTAGTCCTGAGAAGTCTAGAGACAAGTCCCAAGGAAACCAGCTGGCCCCTAGTTGGATGAACAGTGTATAGCAGGATGGTTGGAATAGACAGGACAACAGTGATGAAAAGTCAGAAAGGATTTACCTTATCAGATTACTGCACTATGGAATAAATTGTGTTTACTGGCATCTCCTTGGTGGGGAGCATCTGCAAAACATCCATCATCCCCTTAGTAAGAAAACCCAAGCACAATGTTATGAGTCCCCCTTCCTACTTCTACTCCTGCCCATCAGCCCTCCCTGGTCACATTTTCACTAGGTTGACTTCTTTCAAGTTCTCAGCTTTGCTTCCATCCAGCTTTGGAGAGGATCATGGTCAGGTGGGTGTGCAGTGGGAGGGTAGAATTTGGGCAAAAACCTCAAGAGAAGGGTCTGTGTGGTTGAGAATGAGTTTTGCTGTCAGGGTTTTAGCTTTATGGATCCAGCTGCCTTAGCAGTCCAAGCACAGTGCTAGATTCACCAGACAGACCTGTTTCCACCCTTACTCTTTGTAGACTTCAGTGGAGCAGGGTGGTGGAGGCACAGAAAAAGGTGATACCATGTAGAATCTTGATTCAGAGTAGAGGTGAGGAAGGGGCAGGAAGGTAAAAGGCAGGTGCGAGGAGAAAGTGTGGGACAGGGTGACTCCGAGCCTGGGGAAAGTAAGCTTATGCTGCAGCCATACCAGGTAGTCCAGTTCAAGGTCACCTCTCTCAGTTCTATGCACTTGGAGCTCCATTAGCAATCTGCTCACATGTCACTGACTACATAACAGCCCTCACTTCACACCAGGGGCTCTCTTGTAAACTTCTCCTATAGAGGACACTTCACTCCTAATCATGACTCTCATCTAACCTTGCACCATGTTCCTTTATGGAAGCTTAGGGACTTAACCCTGGAGGCTGCCATGGGGTGACAATTGACCACATTCCCGTCTACACATAGAGAATCATGGAATAATTTCTCTGATATGGTATTTGCTAGTTGAACCTGCAGATTCTTGGTTATGGCTTCTGTATGGGCAGAAGTCAGCAGAGGCCTGTTGCCTATGACTCCCTATCCTGGGGGTACTGGTGAGGATCCCTGAGTTGTGTCAGCTCACCTTGGATGGAGGGATTTCATCATATATTCTGGATTCTGCTGGCTGGGCATCTCTTGAAACCATGACATATGTGTATATTGTGTTCTTTGAGACAGCATCTGTACCACAAACAAAGGTAGAAACACAGTATGTGAAAAGTGGATGACTTTTTAGAGATTGTTCTAATGTTTCCTTTTTAAGATGGAGAAATGAAGCCCTAAGAGGTTAAATAGCTCCCATCCTTTTGAGATGGATGTTTGGATGATTGGTCTGTCTCTTTCTCTTCTAGGGATTGCATGTGGTATGGGAGGCACCCAGCTCAAGCCTCACCCAAAGCTCAGCAGGAATTCTTTCATATTCTAGAGTCCACATTAGGCTTAAGATATTCTTCTCAATCTCTGTGTGGGCAATCAAAGTAGCTCTTCTACCCAGGGTCTTAGTGTTTCTGGCACTTGGCATTGGCTGCCTTACATGGCTAGTTGTTTTTTAATGAGAGGGTCTAGGTTTTTCAGCTGGATTGAATATCTCTAGTTATACACTGTGTTGGATTCTTCTGGTGCATACATTATTCTTACCACCTCAATGTTAAGCACATAGAAGGTGCTCCACAAACATTTGTGGCTTGTTTGGTTGACTCACACAGTCAAACATTTATTAAGCTCCCTTTATGTGCCAGGCTTTGTGTAAGGCTACAGAGTAGTAGAGATGAGAAATATGTTCCTACTTTTCGTAATTTATGGACTGGTAGAAGCATTCCCCTAAGCGTACTGCTTTTCTTTGCTTCTAACATGGAATATTTTAGGGTCAAGTTGAAAAGACGCAGTCAGAATGTAGTGTCTTCATGTTCCAAAGCACTATATATCCACACACAATAGATTTGAGCTGAACAATATCATATGGATCCAACATTTCTGAGCTTAGTCCTGTCCAGCCCCTGCCTCAGACTTGGTGAGTGAGCTAGATTGAGTGCTCTCTCTTGTCTCACTTGTAGATGGAAAAAGTAGCCCTTCTCCCTCCCAAGAGGTCATAAGGAGTTAAGACAGATGTCTCTTTGAGGAAACCTAAAGGTCACCTGTGACCTGAGAAGGCTATGTGACTTATCATCATGAGGTCAACCCTGGGGCTATCAATTATTAAGTATGGTAACTTACATTTACTGAGTATTTACTATGTACCAGGCACCAGGCCAAATATTTTGTATGTGTAATTCCATTTAACCCATTTAATTAATATACACAGCAACTCTTTATTATGCATATTTTATAACTGAGAAAACTACGTGTTACAATGATAAAATAACTGATAACTGGTAAGTGGTCAAGCTAGGACCTTCACCTCAGATGGCCTGCAAAGCATAAACTCAGTCTTAACCCCTTTGCTGTGGATTCATCTTTCCCAGTAATCACCCAAGGAAACTTGTTACTGAGAACTTACCAGGTTTCTTATTGAAGATCTTCAAGTAGGGACCTAAGGAGTTAGAGCAAAGGGGAATGAAGAACATGGAAGCAGAGGGAGAGCCCATCTACATCCAGACTTGTTATTATAATTTGTGGAAAGGGAATATTTTGTGTGGACATGGGATTAGGAGGAATAGGACATTGCAATGATATCTTAAGATGCTAAGATCAGGTTTTCTGAATTGAGAATGGCACAAATACAGAAGGACCCAAGGGATCTAGAAGAATATAATGACAACCATTAGAAAATTAGTACATGTTCCTCAATGTCCCTTAAGGTAATAGTCAAAATATTATGGAATTGAAAGTGACCCTGGAGACCCTGTAATCCAAACCTTATTTCACATGTGAGAACACTGAGCCAGAGAGGTAAAGACACATGTTTAATTAAGCACAGATTGCTAATGGCAATGCTAAACTTGAACCCAAGATCTGGTGTTCCTATGACCAGATTCTAAAGATCATTCAGAGTGATATCATATAGTCGGGGCTATCAGTTTGGGAAATAGTGAGGTGAGAGGGGTAAGGTAGGGATTGTAGAAATGTTGATTCCATGGAGCAAAGGACCTCTCCACACCACCTTGGATAAGAAGGAAGGTGCATTTCCACATTGGAAAAATCTTACCTTGTCTCCTCTTGCACAAAAGGAACAGAAACACTGAAGGTAGAATGAGTATAAACAGAGAGAGGACAGCCAACCCACTCAGCAACCCAGCATGGTGAGTATGGAGGCCCATTGCGATATCTGGAAATGAAAGATGCAATGAGACAACTCTCAGGAAATAGGCTGAAGATGCTTATTGAGCAGGCTTGTCCACATTCAAAGGGCACTATCAAAATTGGATGCCCACCGAGGGAGTACCAAAACTTTGAGGGAAACTGTGCCTTCGGCTAAATCAGGGGTGGAAACTGAATCAGGGGGCATCTTTCAGAAGGCTTTGGACTTGTTGCTAAGGCTTCCTGAGGGGGGTGGTATGCCCCTGGGGACCAGGCCCAGCATGAGGAAGGCATATTACTCCAGAGAATGAGGCCCGTCTTCAGAGTGATTTCTGAGACCCCAAGAGAGATGAACAGAGCTGGTTACCTGCACAGAGCTGCTGGGAAGAGATAGAGTCAGAATTGTTGCTGACAGGGTTCCATGCTGTACATGTGTAAGTCAGCTCTTGGTTGTTAGGAGTCTGGAAGATTTGAAGGACACTGCCCTCTTCCCCCAGGGGACTCCAACTGTATATCACATTTTTTTCTTCTTTCTCCACAGAGCATGTCAGTGTGACATTACAGGTACTGTTTACAGATGTCATTAAACTCTGAGTAATTTTTGGCTTCCCAAGCCTACCTATGGGGAGAAAACACATTAGCCAGTGGTAAACTGGAGCTGGCCTATACCATTTTATGAGAGCCAACTGATACATTTTTTAAAAAATCTTAAAGGTTTATTAAACACACTCATCAAGAAAAAGCAATGTATAAACACTTTTATAATAAAATAAATAATATTTAAAACAAGCCTAATAAATACTCAAAACCCATCACTTTCTAATATTTTGACAATTTACCATTATCTATGTTCTAGAAGTTATTTATATCTATGTATGTGTCTTTTGTAATAATGTACAAAGTCTTTCCAACTTTGCATGTCTTAAAATTATCTATGACAACATGGATGTATCTTGGCAATATAATGCTAATAAGTCAAATAAAAAGTACAATGCTAATAAGTCAGATGGAAAAGGACAAAAACCATATGACTTTACTCACATGAATATAAAATGAAAAGTGAGAAACAAGGCATCAAAACAAAACAAAAATAAACTCAAGACACAAGAATCTGAATGGAGGTTACCAAAGGGGAAGGGCAGTATGGGGACAGTAGAGAAGGGTCAAATATATTATAGATATATTGTGAGCACACAATACTGTATACAGATGTTGTATTGTAAAGATGTACATCTGGAATTTATATAATGTTATTAACCAATGTCACCTCCTAAATTTAATTTGAAAAACCAGCCATGGTAGGAGTATTTATACTGCAGGAATTGGCAAATGCTATAAACTGGGGCTTGATTTACTGCCTTGTTGATTGTTGCTCTAATTTAAGAAAGCAATGGAAGAAAGTTTATCAAAGCAGATTAAACTTAAAATTGTGTACTGTTTATAGGCATCACATTGTGAATAGCAATAAAACAAAACAAAACAAATAAAAACAGACTAAGAAATAATCTTCCAGTATTTGAAAACCACTATTCAATTCACCAAAGAAGTTGCTTATGTCATTGAAAAACAAGTGAAGTTCCAATGTATATGTCTCTACTGAATCTCCTTTTTTTTTATTTTAATCATTGTTCAAATACAGTTTTCTCCTTTTTACTCCCAATCCAGTCCCCACTCCCACCCTCCCCACTTTCCTCCCATTACCACCCTCCCCTTAGTTTATGACCATGTGTCCTTTAAGTTTGTTCCTGTGAATTCTTCCCACTGTCCCCTTAAATTCCCTCTTCTCTCCCCTCCGGTCACCATCAGCCTGTCTTCTATTTCAGTGTCTTTGGTTACATTTTGCTTGTTTCTTTGTTTTGTTATTTAGGTTCCTGTTAAAGGTGAGATCATATGGTATTTGTCTTCCACTGCCTGGCTTGTTTTGCTAAGCATAATGTTTTCCAGCTCCATCCACGCTGTTGCAAAGGGTAGGAGCTCCTTCTTTCTTTCTGCTGCATAGAATTCCATTGTGTAAATGTACCATAGTTTTTTGATCCATTCATTTACTGATGGGCATCTTGGTTGCTTCCAGCATCTAGCTATTGTAAATTGTGCTGCTATGAACATTGGGATGCATAGGTTCTTTTGAATTGGTGTTTTAGTATTCTTAGGATAGAGTCCCAGCAGTGGAATTGCAGGGTCAAAAGGCAGGTCCATTTTTAGTTTTCTGAGGAAGTTCCCTACTGCTTTCCATAGTGGTTATACCAGTCTGCAGTCCCACCAGCAGTGCACTAGGGTCCCCTTTTCTCCACAACCTCTCCAACACTTGTTGTTTGTTGCTTTGTTTATGATGGCCATTCTGTTTGGTGTGAAGTGGTATCTCATTGTGGTTTTAATTTGCATCTCTCTGATAGCTAGCGATATTGAACATCGTTTCATGTGTCTTTGGATTTTCTGTATGTCCTCCTTGGAGAAGTGTCTGTTCAAGTCCTTTGCCCACTTTTTAATTGGATTCCTTGTCTTCTTAGAGTGCAGTTTTATAAGTTCTTTATATATTTTGGAGATTAAACCCTTGTCTGAGGTATCATTGGCAAATATGTTTTCCCATACAGTTGGTTCTCTTTTAATTTTGATACTGTTTTCTTTAGCTGTGCAGAAGCTTTTAATTTTGATGAGGTCCCATTTGTTTATTCTTTCCTTTATGCCCCTTGCTCTAGGGGACATGTCAGTAAAAAAGTTTCTTCGTGAAATATCTGAGATTTTCCTACCTACGTTCTCCTCTAGGACTTTTATGGTGTCACGGTTTATATTTAAGTCTTTTATCCACCTTGAATTTATTTTTGTATATGGTGTAAGTTGGTGCTCAAGTTTCATTTTTTTTGCACGTGGCTGTCCAGTTCTCCCAACACCATTTGTTGAAGAGGCTATTTTTATTCCATTTTATGTTGCTGCTTCCTTTGTCAAATATTAATTGACCATAGAGACTTGGGCTTGTTTCTGGGCTCTCTGTTCTGTTCCATTGGTCTATGTGCCTGTTTTTATGCCAGTACCAGGCGGTTTTGATTATAGTGGCCTTGTAGTGTAGTTTAGTGTCAGGTATTGTGATCCCTCCTACTTTACTCTTCTTTCTCAAAATTGCAGCAGCTATTCGGGGTCGTGTATAATTCCATATAAATTTTTGAAGTGTTTGTTCTATGTCTGTGAAACTTGCCATTGGTACTTTAATAGGAATTGCATTGAATGTGTAAATTGCTTTGGGTAGTATGGACATTTTGATGATATTAATTCTTCCAATCCATGAACACAGTATATGTTTCCATTTGTTTGTGTCTTCCTTGATTTCTTTCCTCAGTGTTGTGTAGTTTTCTGAATACAGGTCTTTTACCTCTTTGGTTATTCCAAAGGTTTATTCCTAGATATTTTATTTTTCTTTTTGCTATTTCAAATCGGATTTTTTCCTTGATCTCTGTTTCTACTGTTTCATTGTTGGTGTACAGAAATGCCTTTGATTTCTGGATATTGACTTTGTATCCCGCTGTTTTGCCAAATTCATTTTTAGGTCAAGCAGTTTTTTGGTAGAGTCTATAGGATTTTCTATGTATACTATCATGTCATCTGTAAACAGTGACAGTTTTGTTTCCTCCTTTCCGATTTGAATGCCTTTTATTTCTTTTTCTTGTCTGATCACTGTGGCTAAAACTTCCAGTACTATATTGAATAGAAGTGGTGAAAGTGGACAGCCTTGTCTTGTTCCTGATCTTAGTGGAAAAGATTTTAATTTTTACCCATTGAGTATGATGTTGGCTGAAGGTCTCTCATATATGGCCTTTATTATGTTGAGGAATGCTCTCTCTATTCCCACTTTGCCAAGTGTTTTTATCATGAATGGGTGTTGTACCTTATCAAATGCTTTTTCTGCATCAATTGATATGATCATGTGGTTTTTGTCTTTGCTTTTGTTTATGTGATGTATTACATTTACTGACTTGCGAATATTGAACCATGCTTGCATCCCTGGAATGAATCCCACTTGGTCATGGCGTCTGATCTTTTTAATGTACTATTGGATGCGGTTTGCCAGTATTTTGTTGAGGATTTTAGCGTCAATGTTCATCAGTGATATTGGCCAGAAGTTTTCTTTCTTTGTTGTGTCTTTATTTGGTTTTGGAAATAGGATGATGTTGGCCTCATAAGAAGAGTTTGGGAGACTCCCATCTTTTTAGATTTTTTGGAATAGTCTGTGAAGGGTAGGGGTTAGCTCTTCCTTAAATGCTTTGTAGAATTCTCCTGTGAAACCATCTGGTCCCGAGCTTTTGTGTGTTGGGAGTTTTTTGATTACTGCTTCAATTTCTTTTGCTGTTATTGGTCTGTTCAGGCTTTCTGCTTCTTTTTCATTGAGTTTTGGAAGATTATATTTTTCTAGAAAGTTGTCCATTTCACCTAGGTTTTCAAATTTCTTGGCATACAGCTCTTTGTAGTAATTTCTTACAATCCTTTGTATTTCTGTGGTATCTGTTGTAATCTCTCCTCTTTCATTTCTGATTGTGTTTATTTGGGTCTTCTCTCTTTTTTTCTTGATGAGTCTGCTTAAAGGCTTGTCGATTTTGTTTATCTTTTCAAAGAACCAGCTCTTGGGTTCATTGATCCTTAGAATTGTGCTTTAGTCTCTATGTCATTTAATTCTGCTCTGATTTTGGTTATTTCCTTCCTTCTGCTTGCTCTGGGCTGCCTTTGTTGTTGTTCCTCAAGTTCTTGTAGACGTAGGGTTAGGTTGTTTGTTTGGAATGTTTCTAACCTTTTTAGGTGGGCCTGTATCGCTATGAACTTCCCTCTCAGGACTGCCTTGGCTGTGTCCCATAAGTTTTGGGTTGTTGTGAGTTCGTTTTCATTTGTTTCCAGAAAACTTTTGATTTCTTCCCTAATATCATTCTTGACTCATTCATTGTTTAATAGCATGCTATTTAATCTCCATGATTTTAAGTGTTTTTGTTTTTTTTCCTTGGGGTTGGTTTCTAGCTTCAGTCCCTTGTGGTCTGAGAAAATGCTTGGTATGATTTCAATTTTCTTGAAATTCTTGAGGCTTGTTTTGTGTCCTATCATGTGGTCTATCTTTGAGAATGTCCTGTGTACATGTGAAAATAATGTGTATTTAGCTTCTTTTGGATGGAGGGCTATGTATATATCAGTAAAGTCCATTTCATCAAGTTCAATGCTACAATATCTTTGTTGATATTTTGTTTAGAAGGCCTGTCCATTTTTGATAGTGGGGTGTTAAAATCTTCCACTACAATTGTGTTGCTGTCCATACCTTTTTGAAGTCCTCTAAGATTTTCTTTATGTATTTGGGTGCTCCTATGTTGGGTACATATATATTTACAATATTTATGTCTTCTTGGTGGATTCTTCCCTTAAGTATTATGAAGTGACCTTCTGGGTCTCCCTTTATGGACCTTTTTGGGACGTCTATTTTGTCTAATATGAGTATTGCTACCCCAGCTTTTTTTTCCTGTCCATTTGCTTCGAAGATTTGTTTCCAGCCCTTCACTTTCAGTCTGTATACGTCTTTTATCCTGAGGTGGGTCTCTTGTAGACAGCAGATATGTGGGTCATTTTTTCTTATCCAATCAGCTATTCTATGTC